TACTTCTTTCGAGAAATGTAAATTGATTTCGGTCACAGCATCGCGCGAGCACGTCTGATAAATCACATCTCTTTAGGCCCTCGCAAATCAACAAGAAGCATGTCAATCCATCATCTTTGGAGAACTACTACAGCTCAGCAGTGTCGACCTCTAATCTTGCTGAACTACTCTTTGGATTGAACCAACCCAGTACTGATAACAAGCATGTGGGTGAAGTGTGGTAAAGTGCAAAAAACATACTAGTAGCTTTCAAGACCGTCCGTTTGGCTTATCCGATACATCACAGCGACCGTTACACTCTGTCGAGATCACTAGCCATGACTGATGAGAAAATCTTAAAACCAGCAGGCAACGAGAACGATGATGCACACAAACCCCTCAAATAACCAACAGTGAAGAGTTTAAGGAAAGGTGAAAATCTATGGTGTACAGGGAAATCTCCCTGGGTGAGGAAGGCCTTCGCCAACGGAAACAACTGTGCCTTATACCACTTATTGAGATCAACTGACCAAGCAAAAGTCGTTATCACTGAATCAATAAGTGAGGAACTGTAAAACTGAGAAGAGACAGGAAATTACCGGAGTGCGACGGTTTGTGCACCTCCATGACCCCTTGAGTCACACTGCGTAATGCACGTGTGACGTACGCAGACCCTCCCATATCAGGTTAGCCAATGGGCAGAGGACTGATTAGCACAGTCTCCTGGTTCTCCAGATTGGGTTTTGGGACATTTTTGGTGACTCGCTTCCTAAAAAATATATGCCACAACCACCACTGTTTTGTAGTTAGGCTTTTCAGCTAAAGACTGATTGAGGACCCCAATTGTCCTCCTGTCTTGGTTTGGGCGCCCTGGTAGTATCTCAGCCCACGAACAACCACGAATTACGTATATACAGTTAATCTCATGCCACACCGGCTTTCACGTGGTGCCATCAATCCGGTACGCGAAAACAAACCAATGCTGACACCTCCATTCTTCACCTTACCGTAAACTGACTCGACCTGCCAATTCGGAGTCATTTTTCTTCTGTAGTTCATCTGGCAGTCTTTAATGTCCGCAGCCTAAAGCAAGCTGGTCAACAGATTGCTCTTGCATATACGCTAGACTCACTTTCTATTAATGTGCACTGCCTCTCTGAAACGAAGATTGAAGACCAAAGTACAATCGTTGGACTGACCTCCAAATAGCTTCGGATTGCGCACCTTTGGTGATCCAGTAGCCCCTGCGGCAGGCATTGCTCCGTCTCACTGAGCTGAAGGATCTCTGTTTGAATGTTTTTTGCGGATATTCACCTGTATTCCGTTGGTTTGGCAACAGACTACCTTTGGTGACGCCTTCGACTCCTTGTTGAGACTGGTTAGAAGCTCAGATACTGTTGTGGTTGCCGTGGTTATTAACGCAGGTAGGTAAACTTAGCGCTGTTCAGGTTCAATTGGGTTCATTTGTAAGCGACACTCATGGACAACAACGAACAACCGCAGTTATATGCTGACCACAGACTGTTTCTGTGCAGTACTGATTTCGGAAACAACCGAAGCCGCTTGACCGCGCATGGTTCCCCTCCTGAATGCGAGCCAACCCGCAACACAGATAGACCAAATCACCATTGGCCACAGATGGTGCGTGTGTTCGAATCACGTACTTTTTTGTTGCTGCTTTGCTGTTTAGCTTTAAGGGGGCACGCAAGACGTGCACAAATCGCCTGGCCACTGGGAAGCTATCGCACACTGATGTGAAACAAGTCTACCCACAGTAGTCTTGGTCAGAACTTCCTCTAATTTTGACTCTTACTGAAAGATACTGTCCGCAGCCTCATAAGATGCTGAGTTTTCCACGTCTGGAATGGCGCGATCAGCCAGACCTAAGCACTCGGTCTCGAACAACACTCTAAGATTGCCCAGTTGCGCATTCCTTCTGACCTAAAGTACAATGTCGCTCAACAAGCTGTCAGACTTCAGGTCAAAAAGGACATCTGCGTGGATAAGGAGGATTGGTGGACGAGTTTATGGACCTTGGGAATCTAAGCTGTTCCACCTGATACGCGCAACTGGCCCAAATAGCCCTCTAGTGGGCAAAGTGGTCACTGATAACAACTCACCTATCTCCAAGGTAGATCACCCTGTAAGTCACCAGTTTGAAATTCCATGGAGTTTCGTCATCTGCGCACTTCCGATAATTTCCATTAAGAATGAAGCAGCCGTACCATGCTCCTTGACTTTTCAGCACAGACTGGCTTCGCTTACAAGACGAAATCTCCCCCCTAATGTGACTCCGTTTAGACTAAGCTGAATAATTCGAATTTTGAATAAAAGCAGTCATTGTCTTGTATGGTGATTTTTATTTCGGGAGGTTTTTTTTATGTTATCTGCCGTTTGCCTATTATCAGTTCTCCCATTTGACGACTTTCGTTCACCACTAGCTCTAGTTGGCCGGCGAGATGCAGGTTGCATGCCCTCTGTGTTCTATGGACATGAACCTTTGGAACATAAGCCGAAGGCGATTACATATTAACGCTTGTTGTGAGAAGGCTGTAAGTTAACCTATTTCGTCTCTGTGATTTATTTGCTGTGGAAGATTACTGATTGTGTTCGCTGTCCAGCTTGCCATAAATCCTTCGGTGGGTCCGTAAGTTCTTTGGTATCTTATCTGCATCTTTTCGTTGAAGGTATCAAGGGTTCATCTGAAACAATGCGCTGCCGCACTGAATATGTCCCTATTGGACTTAATGGCACTATCAGAATGCCGCCAAATTCCACAGTTGTAGGTTATTTGTTGTGTATCTTAATGTTGCAGTCACCAAGCCGAAATGAAGCACTATATTCCGACTTTAACAAACAAAACAGCTGGGTAAGTACTATGTTGCAGTTGTAGTTACCGAAGAGTAGAAACGTGGATGATGATTTGCAAACTGCCCTGGCATTGTCGCTGTCGGTCAATGATGAGGATAAGCGACGCCGATCTGAAGCCGAGGAGAGTACCAAGGTCCCTTTGACAGAATTGGGCCCGCCTTCTCACCTCCTGTTGACCAAACAGCAACGTCAGGCTATCCTCTCAGATAGACTAGCTTCACTCCTTTTACAGGTGAGTGATGGAATCTAACCAGGGACTGCCAAGTGAACTTTTCTGTGTCGATGGATGGTGTTGATATTTTCTTCCTGTACTTCAAGTGTCTCTTGTAAGCAGTACTTGCAGCACTTGGATACTCCTCCCTTGATTTTGGTACATCAATTCTTTGTGATCGCCAGATATTTGTGGCTGTCATCACCTTTTCCCTGATTGGCATCGTACAGCGATGGTAGGTTTGGATCGCGTCGCATGCAGGAACCTCTTGATGAATGGCTGCCACCCGGATGGGATTTTCCGATCAGAACTGGTCAAAGCACTGGACGCATGAGCATATTTGGAGAGCCACAGATGGTGTGCATGCAACCGAATTTCATGCTGAGTGTAAATCCTTGGGGCCGACATAGACTCGAAGGGATAAGATAGACAAAAGCCCGTTATGAACCCTCTGCTAACCCGGAAGTGACAGCTTACCAATGAGCACAGTCACCAGTTATTTATTTACAGTCGAGCTACTATTTTTTATTGCAGCTCCCCCGGTGTAACAACATAAAAGTGTTCACAGGGGGTCACACCGGTGCATTGTCAAGATGATGCTGGACAAACTGACGCTATTTCACCAACCAGATAGGGATAGTCGGTCGTCCTTCGGGTGAAAAGTAAAATACTAGATCATTCAGTTGCAGCACCCTTTTGCTGCCTAGCTGCCATGCCAGTGGAAGGAGGCTGTCGTACGTAACCCTATCATTCAGGGTCACTTAGCCGTTTATTTATCTTCTCCTGGGGTCTCCACCCAGGAAGACGGTAGTTTTGGTGAGCATTTCAGTTAACCCCCACTAACACAACCTCTGGAAGGTTCAAACGAACCTATTGGAATGTCGACACCAATCCGCCATCGATAATGGAAGTCCATCGTGCAATTTCATTGCTTCAGCGCAACAAAGCACCTGGTCCAGAGGGTTTGCATATTACACTCTTCAAGGAAGATAGTGAGTCCCTCGTGGCTAGCCTGCCAAAATATCTGAAATAACAAAAGAATACCGATAGAATGGAGTGCCTCGACGGTAATTTCAAGGGGGTGCAAGAATTTCGTGCAAAAGCCACCGGGGCATCAGTCTAGCGGCCATAGCTTCCGTAGTGCTCTCTTGTACTGTCCGTCGCTGAAAGAGTCATGTTCGCAAGAACAGTAATGCGTTTCGCCCTGGTCAGAGTTGCATCGATTATATCTTCAATTTCCGACAAGTGCCGGGGTTGCGCCACCCCTGACGACCAACACTGACAATTTTTTTCGATCTCAAATCTCTTTGACTCCGTTGATCGGCAGAAACTGACACTCTGATGATGAAGATGTTCCGTCTAAATTCTTGTTTCGTATAAAGGCTGTACATGCCCCCTCGTGGCGACATATATGTCTACAGAAAGCTCCCCTGATTTCACCACATCCGGTGGTGTCAGGCAAGGATATCTTCTGTTGTCCTCTCCCTTTAACTTCGCAATCAATGTGGCGTTTGCATTTTCCTTACCTGCCTCTAACAACTCTTGGATCAAAATATTTTCGGGACGTTCGCTAACGGATACTGGTTTATGTTGTTGTCCTTGGATCAGACCGTTTAGAACTACGAACTACTTTGAATCTGTATAATTTTGCTTCACAGTTTATAGTTACTTCACATCTGCAAAGTATAAAGTACTGCTGCAAGATTTGGTAGGATAAAAACAAACCTCATGCTTGCAGGTTTACCGATCGACGTAATAGATAAATCCATTTACCTGGGCGGCTGCATAAATCCCGGAGAACTGGCGAAGGACGAATTCCGGAGTCGGGTAGGCTTAAGCAGCGTTTAGCGACTCTCGATATTTTTTGCGCCGGTCTGACCGTCACGAGTAGAGTGTACAATACGGAGGTCCGGTTTGTTCTACTCTATGGACCAGAAGCATGGCCGCTCCGTGCGGAAGATCTTCAAAGGCTTTATGTGTGACTATAGCTGACTCTGAGGAATTGCACGAGTCTGGTGGGAACATCAGCTGAGTAATGCTGGGGCACACCAGATCGTTTTCTGGAAATTTCATTAACGTTTGGTAGATCAGCTGGTCACACTCCATAGGTTACGCTGGTTAGATCGTGTAATTCTTTTGGTGTAAAACCGTCTGCTCTATCCGCCCAGCCTTGTATCGGATAGAGACGATCAAGAGGCGGTGGTCAGTGACTTGACAACGAAGCATGAAGGCCCTTACCATTCAACTGCTGTCCCTTGGATAGGAACGCCGGACGAGACAAATAGTGGTTAGTGACCCTGAGGGACATGGCTGTAACACCTGTTGGCTGCATTGCTAAGGTCTCACTCTTTCTCTTCTCCTCGTTGAACGAATTTGCAGCAGTTGGAACAACTGCATTTCAGTACGCGGTGTTTTGATCGAAGAAAAAACAATTGAAACAGGAGTTACAAGTATTGTTTAGTTGATTAGTAAGAGCTTTCATGTTTTATTGCTAATTGATGGACCGACCAGCCCTGGGTCGTCTCCATCCAATACATATTTGAGCGAAGAGTGCTCTAATGTTTTGGTGCCTTCACCAGACCCATACAATGCTTCGGAGGCGCTAATGATCAAACACAGGGGGTCTTCGAAAATCTTTCGTACGCAGCAGCCACGCCTTTGTTCCATAAAGTAGGACAATCGTACCGAAGCATTGTACACGACAGTAGATCGTAAGATTCATTCTTTTTATCATTTGGTTGTAACATTGTGGGGGCGACTGGAATCGGGTGGCCATCATTCCCGAGCTGCTTCAGCTTAGTTCATCCATCAATCGTTGATTCGTGTGGTCTGAAACCGCGTAATCAACCCTGTGTCCACGTTGGCTTTCTTGTGTTATTCCATTCGAGTAGAAACTATATCATCCGCAGACATCCTGTCGTAGCTTACCTGGTTTAGCCAGGTTCAACAGCCGGGTTCAACTGAGTGCATCGAAGTATTGTGGCATTTGGTTTCTTTTACAACAAGAGCATTCAATCTCTCGATCCTTCCATCCTTATCCTGTCTACTTTGACGCTAAAAATGCCTGGATATCCCGACAATCTGAATTTATTACTCTCTTATACATCATAAGAGCTGCAGTATACACATTACTGTATAGGGTAACCCATTGAACTCATGGCTTATCATGTCACTTCGTCGATTATCGTATTGATTCGGGACTGGGTTGTTGCTTGCTCAAAATAGGCAAACTCCTGTAGCTAAAACGTGACGCCAACAGAAATTTACGGAAGACAGTTTAGCTTGGCAGACTATGAAGTGTGGACAATGTCAAAACCGAATATCAAAATTTATAACGCGATTTCGCAGAAAAAAGAACTGGAACTAATCATAACGCAGCACCGTCCGGTGGTTCGGTGATTGGTTATTGAGGCTGAGGGTCTTTTTTGTCGAACACAGACGCAATGGGTGCACGATGCTGCTGAATTCAACCAGGAGGCGAATAACAGTAGTTGATCTTGACAGTAATACGGTTGGTATTTACACAGTATAGCTGGATCCAGCCTTCGTAGTTCGCTAGCTTAGAGAAGCAAACTTTTTCCTCTGACTCACAACGACACCAAGCAACCCTTTCATTTTGTTACCAGGCACAGAGACCTATTGCGAACGCCGTAAAAAGCGTGAACGACAGCTCATCCAAGCATCCATTCATTTTGTTACCAGGTACAGAGACCTATTGCGAACGCCGTAACAAGCGTGAACGACAGCTCATTACCACCACTTTGGGTTATGGCTGCTGGAGATGTGGGTGGGTACGTTTCCGAGTCTTCGTCAAATGTTCCATACTACGTGGAAGCTTTGGTCCCTCCCCTCAGTCCGACAACTATCACTTGGGGTGAAAACCTGCTGTCTTTGTCACAGCTTCCTGGAAGGTCATCTTCACACTCACCTACCCATGTTCTTTCCCCGCGGAACGCACGGCTGTCAACCGAAGTAAGACGCTAATACTTGACGTTAATGCTTGTTTTCCATTATTACCCTAGAGTTGTTGAGAAAATCGAACCCTGTAGAAAATCATGAACGTATATGAAACAACCAAATATCGAAATCTGCTTGGCAAGTAACGTTCATCGAACGGTTCTCCTGTTTAAAACCATTCGATGAGCTCCGGGAGAAACAAAACATCCGATATCGCTGGGCTTTTGGGGATCTGACCACATCTCTCCTAGAAACATGTAGTAATCTCGTACCTGGCAACTGAGCTCTCGGAGACTGGGTGGCATTTCCTCCAGCCAGATGCACTTCATAGTCTCTCGTGCCTTAAACTATTTTCCTGTGATTTATTGCATCACTTGAGTGTTATGCTTTGAAACTCATCGTTGGGATGTGGGTGGCCCCCGTGAATGTCCATGTGATGCAGAAAGACAACTGGTTGTATGACTATCTGGGTTTGTTGTTTGTGAATTTAGCTTAAAATCCCTGTTGAATCGTTAACGAGCTGTCACATCTCAGAATGGTCGAACAAAGTTGATATCTCCTGTCACCTGGTTTCAGAATTCCGCGTTTGCCTCCAGTTGCTTTTTGGAGGGAGAGACCACTGTTTATGTGTACTTGACCACAACAAAGTTCTCCAGTATTTACTTGACGAGGCACTCTACTCATAAGCTTTCTGGAGACTCTTTGATAGTCCATGATCTGTCCCCCATGACGCAGTCGCCGAGTTTCTATCAGTGCTCTATGTTATTCAGAACTGTACTTTATGGTCTGTCGCATTTCAGCCCACATTTTCTCAAACGCAAGGGTTTATCCCCGATGATGATTCTATGGATCACCCCAACGTTTCTATTGAGAATGTAAGTAATTGTGAACTGCTATCATCTGAGCGTTTCGCCTTTTTCTGCTTTCCTTTTTTTGTATCCTAACCGTCAGTGTCGATAGGATACAACTGTGAGGACTGTTGGATGGGTTCCACTGAATGTGACCAATTTACGGGGCACCGATTTGAAGGGCATGGCTTTTGTCAGACGACGGTGCCATTTTGTAATCGGTCGAGTAAGGCAACTCAGCTGATCAGTGCCATCTCGTCTGAATCGATCGATGTAAATCACTGAATTGGTTCGGCTGAATCATTCACTGCCATTTTTTAGCGACAGCAAATCGATCCAGGAAAACGAATTTGCAACCATATGGGCATTCACAGTTGAACTACGAGAACCCAAAGGTGTCCTCAGAACCATTGACCTACCGTCATGTTTGAAATTAACCGAATTCTATTACAGAGACGTAAGAAGTTCTCAACTTTTTCAAGTGATTTTACTGATAGATTTTCACTCACACTAGTTACGGGTATTTTTCTTTGACGAGATCATATCGAAATCAAATCACACTTGCCACTGATGCATTCCAAGTAGCATAAATTGTTGTTGACTTGTTCTCCGACCTCGACCAGTCAGGTTCAAACATTCAATCACGAATCGAGATGATATAAGCAGTGCGCTGGCACCTAAATGGTCTGGCTTAGCAATCGTTTGCGCTGTGTGTACGTGTGTGTGTGTGTTCTGAAGTTTGGTGAGCGTAATCACCGTATTCGTAGTTAGGAGATTTGCCAATATGTAACTGAGACACACCATTGTATCATCGTCTTGAGCTCGCATAGTGGCCATCATCAGTAAGATTTATGCTTCCTAGTCAGGTTCGTGTAATCGCGGAACATAACAGGGTGATGTATTTTGATGCCAAAACACGTTTTGCAATCTCCTACTTACTTTTTGGCATCTTGGTGGTTATCATTAATAGTAAGGTACTCAACCGCCAGAGCACAACTCTGCAGGACGTGACGTGGTTCCACTTGGCGGAATGATGACTAGCTTGCTAGAAGCCGATGTAGAGCCAGATAACTGTTGGGTGATCTTGTGTTGCATCATATTATTTCCTGATCTCAATACAATCAGTTGGCGTCATAATTGAGTGACCCGTTCCAAAATATTACCTTGCTAGATCAGGTCGTACCAATCAGGACACGCTACTATAGTCTGATAGCTAGAAAATCTGATCCAACGGCCAAGTTCGAATGCACTACTGATCGTTCTTGTCTAGGCTCGAGTAACCACCATGTATCTCCACTGCTTTAGGTTGCGTGCGCCGAAATTGTGACCCTGCTAAAATATTATACTTCATTCACATTAAAAAAATTACCTGTGGGCCAGCAACTTGCCTGAATTTTGTCCTGATTTTTCTAGTGTTTTTTTCTCAGTTTCGGTTGAGTTCTTTTAATCCTTTTTGCAGCCCGTTTTCCCTCACTCATCAATTTTAATCAAAAGTGGTGAGGATGGCGGTTCAGAAAAGAGCGAACCGTCTTCTGAAAATCCGGTAGGTTATTCGAACGAATTTTACCGTTTCATTAACTGTGCATACTTCGAACTACTTGCAGTCTTTAACCAACCGTACTTATTGAGGTAGTCAGACTACTTTTGACTAGTCACAGATCCTCATCGAGTATATGGTATCTTACAAAATACTGGCTTGGGTTTTGACCGGATGTTGCTCCAAGGCTTGACCTTGGTTGGTTGAGTTTCTTAATAAAACCGTGATTTGGTCAGAAATTCTTATTGTGATTAAAGCATCTTGTGGCTGTACAGTATGCCGTCATCGTCAACCGACACGCCACTTTTGAACACTGGTAGTTTACTACTGTTGGCAAAAGGCCTACCCTAAAACGAATGCCAGATGTATAGCAAATGAGCCTAATGCTATTCCGTCAAAAACATCCTTATATGAACGTGCGGGTGACATCGGTGTGGTCACCGACACTTTCGTTCTCTGCTGTGTTTATACATGGGCCGAGCTTCGCTTAATGGCTGGTGCCTGCTTTCGTTTGAGACCATAGTTCCACACGCCTAGCCTTTTTCTCTACCTCAGCTTTTTCTAACTCCCCTCACCCGAACGCTACTTATGCCATGAACACTGTGGGAGCTGGAGCTCAAGAGATTATTAAGTTAATGGCAGTCCGTCGGCCAGTGTGGGCGAACGGGTAATCGCGATCTTCACGTATCTCTTGTCGGAAGTGAACCGAATGACAACGACGCTTCGTTCTTCCGGCAGCGGTTGTACCCCACAGTAGTCAAATCGTGTATTCCAGCGAACGGTTCAATCTGAGTACCGTGGCGTCCCCGATCTGCACGTTCAGTGACGCATTTTCCGAACGATCCATTTAATTGAGAGTACTTGAAAGATTCCGTTTATGCGATACAATTAAGTAGAGTGATATACAAGTACAAAAAGCAAACCCGGAGTTTTTATACCTTTGGAGAGCGGGAGCAACTATACACCAGAGTACGAGGCTGGAGGATCCGCCGCTCAGATCTGAACAACAAAGATGTGAACGACCAACTATACGGTTGGGCTAATTGCTGGGGTATGCAATCAATTAGGGAGCATCCAGTCTGTCTTGAATCGCATGGTTGGGATTGTGAGGAGACCAGCAAGTGTTGTGTCTAGCATATCTTTTCTGTACCACTGTATTTCATAGCTCTTTTGATACGACGCTTTCTCAAATGAACGGATAGCTCCAGAATCGACAATGGTTTTTCTTTCTTTTATTATTATATTATTATTTCTTTATTATTATTATTCTTCCCCGTGCAACTTAACAGACAAGTAACCTGGTAAAGGAAGCATTTTATGTTCATTCTACCTAGTTGCATATGACTGCAAGTCTGTATTGGAGTTCGAGTGACAGAAGGGCAATCAATAATACCGTTTGTTTTGTCAAATGCGCCCATTTTATTGTACCTGACTACGGGACAGGACTATTTCGTTCTTTTCTTGAAAGCAGTCTGTCTTCGGAGATACCTGGAAAACAGCACTTTTCTTCCGTAGGGCTTACCGCCAAATTTGGAGTTGACCCGGAGTGTCATTGACGAACAACCACGGAAAACAGCTCAGTTGGTTTCAATTGTGGAGCGGTTTTGTGTGTGGGGGTGGTAGCCAGAATGTTGACAGTTTCCCGATCACATAAGCAAATATTCGAACATACAACCGAGCCTAATAAGCTGCAACCATGCGCAATGTGTCGCACATATTCTAACAAATGGACAGTTTTCCATCAAAGGTCACTCGTTTAAGCATTTGTAGCTTCTTACCCTGCAGTTGAGTACACTCTGAGAGTCCACATCATCGGCCATTTCATCATTGTGCTCCTGAACGAAGATGTCGCTCTAAATCAACATACAAAGTGTTATTTGCGTCTTGACGTATCATTGTGAAGACCGCCTGCTTTAGAACCGGTGTGAAAAAACACTACTCCAATGTTTGTTTGTGACAAGGAGTTCAGCAACTCAATAGGCAGCAATGGGTCCATCTTCCAGCTGCTTGTTAACGTGGTTCCTAAGTTGCTGACAAAGCTTTTTAGCGAAGTCAAATGGCCTTTTCTGTTCCAAAACTTGAGAGCCAATTGACCACGAAGACGGCTGGGTTTCGCAGGTTACCTTCAGAGAAGACATAGACGGACACATGTTAAGAAACGGGGTACTATGCAATCCAGTGAATATTGGTTTATTTTTTAGTGGCATCCACACACAATGAAGGGGAAGAGATATAGCTATAGCCGGTGTGCTCAAAACACAAGGATAACCAATTTAAAGAGATCCGTCTGAAGTGTATTGTACTGTAGTGTGCCCCAGTAAACTATTGCTGCATCAACGAGTTCAGTGGTCTGTAACTTTATCTGAAAGCCTTAAAGCGAGTTCTGAGAATATGCATTGGATCCTTCACCGTGTCCAAGGTGGAACTGCTCCGGAGGGCAGCAAAGGACCTAGATCGGCACCAATGGGTCAGATATGGAGCGATTCACTCGTAACTTAACCTACGTTGTCCGTTGCTGGCATCAGAATTGAACCTCATTCATTGTAAGCCTGACCTCTGACTGCCATTCATGACCAGTAACAATGCGGAGCATTTGTGAGGACGGCTGATCACTTGTTGTGTAACAGTGCAAGTTTTATGGATGTCCAATAGTTTATCTGCGGCAAAGAATACTGCGATGAGACTGGATGTATGGCCTAGGCACCGAACAGGACCTGTCCGTAAAATCGATGGTACAGCAGATTTATTGGCTGCTTCGTGCATCATTGTCTATCCGAATGTGAGTGCGTGTTGATGGCAGACTAAGGATGCAACTGGTTAGTTGAACACAGTGACAGGTGACTTGACAAATGAGCATATTCATCATCTGTTCCAATTCTCTGTACTTGTTACCGGAAGGATGCCCTTCAACTTGATGAATGGGCTCTCAGAAGGCATCAGTTCCAAGCCAAATCTCGTGCAGCAGAACTCAAGAGGCCTTAGCTGAGGTTGGATTATCTTGGGAGGGGACCACTGTATTTTGCCAACCATACCATAGATGTTTGACTCATTCCCTTCTTGTTCCAATTTTTGCCACTTTTGGTGACAGGTTTACGGTAATCGATATCTTTCTATGGTTGGAGAGTCATCGTGGTCTGACGCAATCCTAATTCTGGATGACGGACAACGGGTGCCTGTCCACAAGTTTGTATTTGCGGCCTGGGGCATCGTTTCCTCCGTATTTCCGGTATGTTCCAGTCTTGCTACATCACTTTTAAACATTGCTGTCTATTGCGACCTGTATCGTATATCAGTTTGCGGTTTTACGCCTTTGCGGTCTTAACCCTTTCCTTAGCTACTCGATGACTGAATTGAGTCTAGATAAAGGTTGTGATTCGTCTAGTCTGCCCTCGATTATACGCCGAGGCGGTCTAACAGTCCTCGGCTAGGGAAGTCAATCTTTTGAATAGGTTGCAGTGTACCCCTCGCAGGCATGCGTTGGTTTGCCGCCCACTACCTTTGTAGAAAAGTCACCACCCCAGATGGGATCAAATACTCCATTCTTCTGCGTCAGTCTCCGGTTGTTGACTTTAGCAATGGAAGAATAAGCGGCAATTGCGGTTTACAAGGTATGCTTAGTAAGCCTGACCTGCTTAAGTGACATTGAAATTCACTGAGTGAGTGTTTTAGAGGATAGTAGAGCCGTGGATATTAACAACAATTGTTATGTTGGACACAATCTCCTTACAACATGGACTGATAACTACGCGTCATTAGAACAAGCCAGTCTTTGCACTTCGTGAAAGACGCATGTTCACAATAAATACTAAAGTATAGATGGGGAGGGGAGGGCTTTCGGACCCGGGCTCGATCTTACGAGCTTCCAAGGTTGAATCAACAAAGGCAGTAGTAAACCCTACATTTCTACAAAAACAGCTTAGAAAATGTCTACAAACAAGTTAAGCCTTTTCGTTGAGATTGCACTGTACCAGAGTATGAATCCAGAACCTTAAATTACAGCGAACCCAAAGCTTTTTCACTACAAGAGTGCTGTTTATATTAGACTCGTAGCGGTGGCTCAGGGCTGTTCCGTATGGATCTTATTGCCGGTTATTACGATTTTTTTCATATATGCCTGTACTAGCATGCGTATACCATCACAATGACCGGACAGCATCGAATTAAGGCGCACCCTCTTGTTTCTGGCACTTTGCTCAATAGCTATTGAAACTTGTATCCTTTTTAGAATGGAACTTCCTCATGTGCAGTAACTGGCATTACCACTTCTGAAGTGTTTCAGCTACTAGCACTACTTTATCGAGGAGACGAGCAAACGTTGTGCCAGGATTGGAACAACCAAAGTCTGCTTGTTCAGGACAAACTTCGAAGGTCAGTTGAGCCGTTTTTTTTCGGTGATACAAAAAGAGTGGCGAACTGGCTCTTCTTTCGACTGTTGTCCGCAAAATCGCACAGGAACCTAAAACCTCATCTAGTTTTACAGGTCGACATGTCCATCACTCAGGTGACATTTAATCTGATGATGTGATGTTTTTTAAAACCCCCATATGGCAACCTTCTGTAGGCAACAGGATAAGCAGGACGAAGCAACAACAATTGCCCCCAGATGTTCTCTTAGAAAAAAGAAAAAGTGATCCACAAGTGTGTACGATGGTAGCATCTGGTAGTTGCGATGTTGGATCTTCAGTTGGATCCTCAGCTGTTTATGAGGAGTTTGTCCTGTCCGCCACAAGCCTTGAGCGCACGGTACGATTTACAATGCTGTCTTTCGTGAGTTACCGGCTGTGGGGTCATTGTGTTATCCTAATGAACTTTAAACCGAATGTTTTGGGTATAGCATCTACCCCAACCGGTTTTATCTAGCCCGAAGACAGAATGGGCCACAATGGTATTCCCCATCAGCAACTTCCCTCCACCGAAGACTGGTCACCAGCGAAACTAAAATAAGCCCTTCCTCGCGTTTTCTCCCTTGTGGAGTGTTACCGTATTTAGATGGCGTTTTGAATTTTTAGCCAATCCAAGCTCAGTAACCCTGATAAGTTCGCAGGATATACGCTCCACACTTCCTGCTGGAAGCTCGAATTCTCAAAATGAGAATCAGTCACTACTTTTCTCATCAATGGCCTTCATAACCCTGCAAGTTGTCCACCGTAATGATAAATGTCACTTACAAAACACAATATCTGCCCGGTCCTCAATTGGCATATGGAATAATAAACTCTATCGGTAAGTTCTTGCCACACTGTGCAACTCCACTGCTATCTGTGCACCGAACAACGCGCGTGGGCAGTTGCAGTGTCATATGGTAGCTAGCCAAGTTAAACTGGAGGCAGCTCACGCCACCTGCGTTCAGGTTCACAGAGTGACATTTCGACAAAATGTTGTCATTTACAAAATTTACTGCGCTGATAAAGCCATTCCCAACTGTCTTGTGAGAATGGTACAAACAACTGCAAAGCCTTATTGGCTGGCCTTGAGGGACGCAACCTTCTCTCCATTCCTCATTAATGAGGCTTATTAGGTGGCTCTAGCTGGATCGGTCATCTGATGCTCATTCTCAAACACCATGATCTCACTTATGTGCATTAGATGGGTTCATCCCAACCAGCTATTTTTAATCGGCTTCCTAGCATAAAAGTGCGTATCTTCTAACCTGCTCATTATTTCGAAAGGAAAATCCGTGAACAGGAACTTTGTTTTAGCTTGCTTGATTTGGGTGACTCTAATGGCTTCCCTGCCCGCATGTCTGTGTAAAATAATCCCTTCAAATAAGGTCCATCATCCGTCCTTTTCTGTCAATAATAGTTTACAATTCCTCTGGAGAGAGGTCATCTTCAGAAAAATGTCCCTCTCCCCGTGATATGATCACTTCGGGCATTCGCCGCACATCGTTCTTCATTGTCTTGGTGGGTTCTGTGGTGTTGTTTAATGTGGTCCGTGGACAGTTGTTCTTCTGAATACATTATTGTTAGTCAAATCTTATACCAAGGTACATAATTGTATAGCTAATGTATTTGCGATTGAACAACTTTCATGCCTTTCTAAGTAAGGTAAAACATGGGTTGATTCTCCAACAAACTGTTTGGGGCACGTGTTGTTTTCATTATTCAATTTTTCGTCTTAACGCATGACTCTGTTTTAATACTAGTTGGGGAGTCCGGCCATGTGCCGAAGCCAAGTCACCCCACGGTGTTGCAGAGGTTGGTTTCTCTTCAAAGAAACAGAACAGCCCTCTAAACGTCAAAACAATACTAACAGACGAGCAAATAGCTCACATGCAATTGCCGTCGACCAGTTTTCATAACGGGTGTTCTGCATCGGAAATTACAACCCCGGTTGTTTCTGGATCCAATTGGCGTCAACCGGAACCGCAGTTTAGTCGTGACTTGTTCAGTTCACCTTGGGAATCGATGTGCATTGTATCCCATCCGGCGGATGTCGCAGAAAGTGCCACAGAAAAATTGTCTGTGAGTACTACTGTATCTAGTCGTTTTCGCTTGTATTTGTCGCCTTGCGTCTATTGTCATGAAATCGAATTTTCCCCAAGTGTTGCCACCACATAGTGATATTTTGGTTTTCACTTTTCTGCAACAAGATGTAGATACAAATAACCGCCTACGCAGTGCGTCTCCCATCAACGTCATTCAAAAATTACGTTCACTGTTCCTTTATCATCCAGAAATTGACTGTTCACTAAGGAGTTCGGACTTCCTTACATTAATACGTTGCCAAGCTCTCGATCTTATCTTTGAAGAACATTTAAGAGTGAAAACTCCGGTACAGTGAAATGTTCACCGTGGGATCAACCTGTCGGAGTCCATTTTGTACACCGCCAAGGTTGTACTTATCCTTTCAGTTCCGCGTTTTTTGGACTCTTTTGCTATTTTTATTGTCCTGTCCCTTTTCTTAGTCCGTAGAGTTCCATTCCATATTTTACGCCGACTGGGGGCGAGACGGCTCAGTGGTTTGAGCGCGAATTTACTGACCGGAAGGTCCATGGTTCGAACCGGACCTCTGTATCTCGACTTCCCTTGCTTGGCAGTATCCCAGCCCTCGTGCTCCCTTCTGGTGGCATGTCAGTTAGGTACTGAAAGTGTGCCACAGCTGAACGACTTTCTGCGCAGGTTGGAGGTTACGTCCACACAAACTTGCCCGCGTTTTCATGACCGGCCACAAAACCATGGTCAGACATGAGGACCCTTTTAACAAGAGCCCTCTCCGTTTTGTACACAGCTACCAACCACTTTTGTTAAGGCATGGGGAAAATTTTCACTCCCTCCGACTTAAATGCTCCTGTGGCATAATACTCTTACGCATGCGATTTCAATATGAGCCTGTCCTTAGCGGCACGGTTGATTCAAAGAAACACCATACTATGGTTACTATGTCAACTGATTTACCATCAACTGAACCCGCGAAATAATCAAATTCTGTGGGTAACCGATGACACTTCTTGGCCATTTACCAACTCCTGCCTACGATCTGATCGGTATTTTGTAATTATTCCTTTACATTCTGCCCATGTTGGCGGTCAAATTGTCACGTCCAGTTTCTAACGCCTAACTAGGCGTGCCTTTGCTAGTTGAGTAACCTAACCATAGTATGTCGGGCATAATGCACTCTGATTCAACAAAATTGCCGTGGTTAAATAACCGGTAAAGAACCATATTCATGTATGATAACTACGGTTTGATTGATTTGTGCAATCCAGGATACAGTGGCGGTTGAGTTCTGGATAATACACTACTAATTTCGTAAGAACCGCGTTCTTGCCGCACAGTGGTTCCAGCTGCCACAGTTTCGTTCACCGATGATTTGCGTAGATGAGGTAGGTAACTGCGTATTGGAGGCGGTAGCTTATCTATTTGATGCATAAATACAGGGTTGTCAGTAGATTTTTAATTCCCATTCATCATCATTTCGAGAACCTTTTTCTTCCAATCTTCCAGATGCGTCTCTCGCCGCCGGTTCTAGGTTCTGAACAACAGTGTCCTTTAATTTCACCTGAACGATCTCCTAAGATGACCCCAGTGTTTGATGAACAGCCGACTCCTTGCCCATTATTTAAACGACTGTGTGCATCCAACACAACTCCGTCGCCGGAATCAGAACCACCCAATCAGCAGTCTTCCGTGACTTCACCTCCCAATTCACCGTCCCCAGAAATGGTGGTTAGTACTGCCACATCTCACTTGTCTAAAGGCTTACAAGACAAATCTTCTACCCGATCACCGCCACACATTCCTCAAGATATTATGAGTGATATTAATTTTGAAAGTTGGAGATCTCCCCTCAGTACCTTTGGCAATTCAACCCTACATAATTCACCGGTCACTCCCCTTCCAGATTACAAGGCGATGATGACGCCCGAGCTAAAAGTGAGTTGACTGTACAGCACTGCGTTTCCAAATGTTATCGGCCCGCTTCCAATAAGTATACGACGTGCATTTTAAGTGTGAAGACAACCCAAGAGTCTTTTTTGAGCTGACCTATCATTCAAAGGTTCTGTTGCACGATCAGGATCAGGAAAAGACACCCCACCACAACAGCTACCGGCAACTTTGTCCCCATAGCAAACCGGTAGCCATTCGTCACTGTACCCAGTCTTATTTCCATAAGAGTTCGAAATCCACATTCTCCGCAAGTGGAACACAGCGGGGATACCAGGTAGACGTGATACAGCCATAGCAATTTGACTCAAAGTCTTGTTCGTTCCTTCAGCTGTAGCACTCTTTCGATGCCTAACTGCCATGCCACCCGAAGCTTGCACGAAGGCTGGGATACTGCCAGGTTGCCCAGGCCTAGACAGGGTAGGTCGAGAGTCAGAGGTCCGGTTCGAACCACGGACCTTCCGATCAGTAAATTCGCCCTCTAACCACTTGGGCCATCTCGCCCCCTGATTCAAAGTAAATGCAGTAAGTTATTAAATTCACATCATCTACAGCACTACACCGGGTGGTACAACTGTTTTACAGCCATTGATAGAGAACACCCTGAGCATATAGTGAGTGGAAGTGAGAGTGGTGGGAACTTAGTGCAAAAAATACTGATACATGTAGGTAAAGCGACCAAAAAAGAACGAATAGAATAGTGATTAATGTCGTGTGCTTACGTCTCGGCGGCTTGGGTTTGGGTTGAGATTAGCTGCCGACTCTTGAGGTCTTTCCATTATTTTGCCCTTGCTTCACCAAAAGGACGCGAAACACGTTCTGAAGAGTACTCTGCATAGGCATCTTGCAAAAGTTTGACACCATTATCAGTTTCCCCCGTCGTCCCCTGCGAATCTCACTAAATACATACTCACCACAGGCAGCCAGTCTAGACGGTGGTAGTATGTCACCACAGTCGGTTACGTCCGGTGTAGTTGCTAACCGCATGCATGAAAAATCGAATTGGTTCTAGCCAGAAAGACGTAAAGTTCCACCGGCACCCGATTTGACTTTAGCCGCTTTCCATTCACGTTGCCATGTCACGGCGAATTTTTCACCAACAGCGGTTTGGAACGCAACACAGCAGTCTATTTAGTAGTTTAGAATTAGGCATGTTAATTGTATGTACTAAACACCTCATCTTGGATTGATTCGCCTCTTTAACGATCCCAGTTTGTTACTAAATGTTCACTTGCGCACCATTTCGCTCCGGACATGCTGTTACTAACAAACTCCTGCTATTCTGCGAAAATGCTGATGAATAGATGTTTGAATGTGTTTACGGTCTGTGGATCGGAATTACTGGATTGCGCGTTCATGAAGCTAGACTTCTTTTCCAGTCGTCCTTAAGCCCCAGGAAGATTCACTCTGTCATCTACTCTAGTGGAATTCCTAAAGGAGAAAGTACTACCCGAAAACTCACACCCTTCCACAAAGTCCTCCCTGTTTCGGCGACACAAAACTCACTTACTTCAAGAGTAACGTGACAATTTGCGAAGGTAAACACATGCTGTTGAATGATTAATTTCCTCAAATTAATTCATCAACTGCCTCGAATCCAAGGTAGAAACGTATTTGGAAAGATGGTTGGAATTGATGATTACCTTCACTGGTGATACATGATTTGATAAATCGCTTCCATCAGTTACGATTCATTTAAGTGGTCAGGGAGATCCGAATTGAGTTGATATTTATATGGAGTTTTTGTACTTATGGAATCAACTAAGCCCAGGAACGTACGTGACCATACGAGGTGCTGTTTGGATCAATGGAAGACTCAACGAATTTGTCTTGAGTCGGTTGTCATCTTTTACGGTGAAAACGGAGAAATATTCTTCATTTCCCATTCATCATCAAGACTATGCGAACTTATTCGGAGATTATCGTAAATGGATCGAGATGAAAACTTCCGTAATTTTCTAGTCGTTCGCTGCCGTCAAGCATGCGTGTGCTCTCATGGGTATCCCATATTAAATGGGTTATCTCCAAGATAGGCCAACTATCTCCCAATGCTGCTGTACCCTCCCCCCCCCCTATTTGTGGATTTACCCCCTTTGGGAGTGTCCGAGGGGCGAGGAAACAACGCTAGAAGGTTTGCTCAAAGTGATCAAAAATATCATATTTCATTTCTTATTCAAAATTATATCTACACTCAGTTGCTGCGTCGTAGGTCGTCATGGTTTGCAAGTCAGAAATTGAATTGTACCGATATCCGCAGTTATGGTTGCGACAGCTTGCGTGGTTGGCTAGATAGAAACTGTTGCTTGAGTTAAGAGGTGTTCAGAACCAATGCATCCGTTATTTTGTTCCGTTACGCGAAAACCAACCATCATGATATCTTGATCTCGTCAGCGTTCTTACAAACCACTCTGGAGTGCATCCACCGATTGGAATAGTCTGTGAAATAATTTGGGCGCCCGATTAGCCAGTACCGCGCATAAATGATGATCCGTCAGCGCGGTCAATTCGATGGCTTTAAAGGGGAGAAAAGCAGGTAACCGTGGTCCGATTTTTACTGACACGGATGTCTGTTTCCAGTGAGTTATCGGCGCCCATTTTTGAGACGTTTTGCTGGGTTCACGCAGGGCAGATCTTCCTGTTGTTCCCTACCCACTACCGATACGTGAGAAGAGGGAGCTAACAGCAAACCTTTCGTCCACTGACCGGCTGAGAAGAGAACGCTACAAGTGCGTGCAATACCCATACAAGCATTACCCTCTTGTGCCATGAACACAATTCCCTGTCTCCTACAGTGATTAAGCGATATCTAGTTCACGAAATCTCTAACGCCTGTCTGATTCCTTGTTACTTCCATGTTTAGGGTTGAGAGAGGTCGCCTAATAATGGGAGTGAGTGGGCTTTTGAAACCCTGGTGAATCGCGTCTGCGCCGCCACCGATTTTTTCATTTCGCTAAACTACTCATGAGTAACTTGTGTTATTCACGTGGGGGCGACGCGCACAGTTTCCTCAGTGAATCAAGACTAATGATCCATCTTTTCCACATTGCAATAGTCCGTCAGAAAGCTACAGAAGAAGATGTTGGTGGCGCAGATTATCGTTAGCTTGTTCGCTGAGCTGAACAGTCTGAATGTATACCTTTCGTCACCAATCGAGGTGACATCAGTGCGTTGTCTGTCAGCGTAGCAGTGGACAACCACCAGCCCAATCAAAATTCCCAGCTCAGTGAACAAGTCAACGGCAGTCTGAAAGACCTCGGGTGCGTATTCGAGACGATGGCAATGCGCCGGGAACAGTTTTCGAAACGAAAAGCGGGCTGCCCCCAGGGAGGATCGAACTCCCGACCCCTGGTTTACAAGACCAGTGCTCTAGCCACTGAGCTATGGAGGCGGCGGAGGGCGCGTCCAGTTGTTAGCTGAATGGCATAGTCAGAAGGCGAACTCAGACGCTAGTTGTGATCAGTCATGTGTCGTCTTTCGCATCGTCCTAATAGTTAATCCAGCAGCTTAACATTCGAGTGCTTTATCGCGTCTGGACGAAAAGGGCACAAAGATGCTTATCACTTTTCACCGTTAGGGCGAATTCGTTGGAAATTCTACCCAAGACCTTTGGTACTCAAAATACATGTTATTATCCTACTCTGGGCTGTCGGGTCATCCATAAGTTTAAAACATCTTATGTCAGGTCACGTAGCAGTGGACAACCACCAGCCCAATCAAATTTCCCAGCTCAGTGAACAAGTCAACGGCAGTCTGAAAGACCTCGGGTGCGTATTCGAGACGATGGCAATGCGCCGGGAACAGTTTTCGAAACGAAAAGCGGGCTGCCCCCAGGGAGGATCGAACTCCCGACCCCTGGTTTACAAGACCAGTGCTCTAGCCACTGAGCTATGGAGGCGGCGGAGGGCGCGTCCAGTTGTTAGCTGAATGGCATAGTCAGAAGGCGAACTCAGACGCTAGTTGTGATCAGTCATGTGTCGTCTTTCGCATCGTCCTAATAGTTAATCCAGCAGCTTAACATTCGAGTGCTTTATCGCGTCTGGACGAAAAGGGCACAAAGATGCTTATCACTTTTCACCGTTAGGGCGAATTCGTTGGAAATTCTACCCAAGACCTTTGGTACTCAAAATACATGTTATTATCCTACTCTGGGCTGTCGGGTCATCCATAAGTTTAAAACATCTTATGTGTCGGTTCAGGGTTTTCGTGTCCAGGGGATACAGTGCTTTCGTGCTAGTTTTTCTTATTGATATATCGTTTGGTACATTCCTCCTTGGTCACACGCCGCCAGTTTCTGCCTCAATCCAGTAATCGTTGTTTGCATTAGATATGTGGTCAGATCGGCAGCTGACTTGCCTGAGTTTGAAGCAAAGGGCTTGGTAGCTTTAACGCCTCGTCACTTATCGAACGAGCCTGCGGGGCAGACCAAGTGATTCCCGTGTAGAATAATCACTCACGGTACAGACCAAAAATGGCCCTGTCGTGTGGGGAATTATCTGTGGAGAGGTTCTCTATCCTTGCTCGTGGATAAATCTGAGGTAATAACGAATGTTTACCTCATTAGCCGGTAATAGCTGAACCTTATAGGCTTTTTATTAATTGTTGTGTTCAGTCTTTGTCGACTGAAACTAATCGGGTGTGATGGATCACACGCATTAAATGACAGTGATTGTTGTTTTTATTAGCAGAATTTCCCGAAGATCGATGCATATAATCTTTAATGTCAACTTTTTTGAGACCCTTAGTCGTCATCGGCAAGCCGAAATGGTAAACGTATTCAAACGTAAAATACTTGCGGACATTGTCGCCGTGTTTTTCTCGTGATATCAAAAGGAAATCTTCATCCGATCTTCCCACTTCTGTTTGCTTATTATTGATCAGTTCCAATTCCTGCGTTAACCCACCGTGTGGGACTGAGCAGACATCATTCAGACGGAACAAGGTTCAGCCTTCAGCCATACAGCCTTTACAAGCACCCAGATGATGTTAGATCAAAGTCTACTATAAATCTATTTGGTTTTCATTACGAACAGGGAATGATGACATACCAATTCTGAATAAAACTTATTGTCAGTCGATATCGGGTCCTTACGAAACCGTAAAACTACTTCAGTTAGGAACGTCCTTCCAGCCGTCAGAGACCCTTGGAGTTGTCCGCTTGCCACTCTGTTCAGTTCTAGTGCGTTTATAGCTTACTCTGACATCATTAGTAATGGGCATTTTGATTGACTAAAATAATCCATCATTTGCACAAGGTGTTCTCCATACTGTTTGTTGTTAACTGATAAGATGTAGGGATGAATGGAAGTGCTCTACCCTGTAGAATTTTCCTCCAAAAAGTGAATCGTGTATACCTATATGCGTGTGTAATTTATGGATCAGGCCCTTTTACCAGTACTTCCCCATTTCAGCACCTTCAACCAATTGACTTCGTTAATCTATAAATTCCTCCACCAAGGGCCAAATGCTTCTTCATTAGGAGCCACTCCTTTTTGTGATATCTTTCCAACATCAAACACTGAGTACTCCCCGTCAGCTTTGCGTTCAGCCTGTTTTGTAGCCATTTTCCCACAACTTTTACAAACAAATTCCGTTTCAGCGTGCTCTCTCGGCTTTTGGAGTTCGTCCTCTTCCCCGCAAACGTGCTGTGACTCTGCTAAATGAAATTTACCATCAACTGCACCAATGTAAGTCTAAATTCTCAACGGTGGTAGTCTAGCTTGTGTTTGCTTTGGAACAAAGTATCGAAACAGTCGGGACACAGCTATGCATTCAACCAACTGTTTGGCCAAAAACTGCCCCATATTATTCGTGTTCTCGGTGACGAATGTTTATGGCTACATACCGTCCGATTGGACATTGATTTTCTCGAGGAAAGGGCGGTCCCTTTATGTGTTGGAACTCCAATGTGGAGTCGCCACAATGTTCACGGCAAAAAGAATGGCACATGCGATACTATGTGCAGTAATTTGTATTCTGAGTATCGATTCTGGTGCTTTGAAGGAGGTTTATCTATCTCACTTCATGAACCTTAGGACTTTTTAAAATTTAATTTGCCGTACCAAAATTAGGCACTGTAATGGCCTTCTTCCAGGTTGCTAAGATTCAGCGTATGCCGCTTGTAATTAGCCTGATAAACGAATTGGAAAAACAGAGTTCTTGGGATCAAGTTTGTATTGTCGAAGTCATCGATGATCTGATATTGTAGTCTGACTGCAGGTTGAAAGTAGGGACTAAGCAGTATTGTGTGTGTCTAGTGAGGAATAATGCTCCGGTTGTTTGTTCCAAGAATGCTGCTTCGTCGTTTGGTCAACTTTCGAAAACGCGAACTGTCGTCCAAATTTTTTTATTTATCCCATTTTTTGCCTCAAGAAGTGCAGCCAGTGGTGTCAGGTTCACTGTAAAAATGCGGTAGCACAGTACTATAGTCAGGCCAACCCGGGTTCGTTTTATGCTCAGTCTGGTAGGAAAAGATTAGGCCATTTTGTTAAGTCTGAGAATACCTGGGTCATGGTCTGAGTGTCATTCCTTCGGCTCAGTCCTACAAACAATAGTTTTCAGTCGTTTAAGTTAATACAATCGCTCGTTACCGGCTGTCAGTTGTACACACCTAAGGCCTTGAGGTAACACATCAGGTTGCCCCTTTATCGCGGCCATCCCCTGCTACAAGACCGATGTATGGAATCTCGACAGCTTAAGCTTGGAAATTGCACATGTTGTTTAGGAGTACTAAGTATAGGCTAACTATATCTTTTTTTTTGGGGGGGGGGGGTAGCTCGCCACTGAGCGTTTGAACCCTTATTCCGATGTTCTGCTTTGGGGAATTGGTCATAATTAACAAAGACCCCACGACTAGCTCCTCTCCTTCTACATTCCGACGCACAACTCCCTCGGCGAAGTTATCAGCAAAGACACGTTTACACAATAATGTTATCCACTTCAGCGTCCGTCCACGGTTGCTGCACCAACGTCTGCGAGTGGTGTAAGCAAATAGTACCATCCCCGGCATCCATTAAGGCTGATGAGCGGTCAGAAAATGACATGGGAAACAAAAGTTTTGTTAATATACTACTTACCCGCCTGTGTAACCTTATATTTATCGTAGGAATGAAGTGGGATGGTCTGATGTTCCATCTTTCTAATGACTCTCCGTGAAATAATCAAATCAAGTCGTTCAGTTGTAGCACCCTTTCGGTGCCCGGCTTCCATCCCAACGGTAGGAGGCTCGAGGGCTGGTATACTGCTAGGTGGCCCAAGCCTAGACAGTATCAGTCGATATACTGAGGTTGGGTTCGATCCACGAATCTTTAGGTTCGTGTAATGGCTCCCTATTTAAGATAACCCTGTTGCTGTACCCATCAATTACCCCCAAATGGGGTAATTGATTTTTTTCGAAGTGGTAGGGGCTATGGTGTACAATTACTTCAAGGATGCTGCTCCAAGAGAGGATCTTCATCTATCCAATTTCAGGGTTCATCTTACACATCATTTTGCATTGACACAGATAAGTATTACACCTCGTTGTTACCATAGGAACCTTTGGGTGAGTAGTTGAGGTACCGGCGTAGTTGCTTTTAATAACGCGATTTACACCGTTGGCCGCTCCAGGGAACCAGTCTAGAATCGCGCTTGATACCCTATTGATCTCGCGTATGACCATATCCTAGAATTTTTCAAATTTCACAGCTTGACTTTGAAAGTGTCTACATTTCCATATAAAGCCACCAATTTATGCTATGACATTTATATTCGTAGATACTACAAAGCCTCAGGCGGGCCCAGTGGACTCGCTTTCTGAGCAGTCGACCTCCACACGTACATCCAAGCCCTCCCCAATGAAGAGACCACGGTCGAAGAAACGCTCCAGTTCGCGTGTGACCCATACCACAACATCAGTCCATCCTAAGAGAACGTGCAAAATGAGTAACCCTGCTGTTTGCACCACAGGTTCCGTGTCATGTTCAACTGGGGAATACGGATGGAGTGACGATGATGCTCCTAATGACGTTGATAATCGTTTCGAAGTTAACGACGTAGATGATTCACAAAGATTGGAAGTGACGGGACAGGTCTGTTCTGCATATCGGGCATTAGCCGTACCTTCTCCTGGCCACTGTCTGGTGACGTTGGATTTACTAATTTTCAACACTTAACGACTAGCCAGTTGGTCCGTTTCGAGGGTTAGGCAGTCGTTCCCTAGGCCAGCACATTTGTGTGGGATTACGCTAGCTTTTAATTACACGACGGTCCAAGAAGTTTTGTTTTTAAAGTTCTTTCAATTTTCATACTTGAAACAATCTCGTGCGGTTGAACTAAGACCTTCTTGTTACGAGGAGTCCTTCAGAATCCGGGAACATAAACTACTGTAGGCACTGGGGAGAAGAGTTTTAAATTGATAAAGCCTCATATTAATGTTTATGTCTTGACTTAATTAACGTTCTGCATGTGCCATTTATGTACGCCGCAACCGGCACTGAGGATTGCCTCATGAACGCCCAGTATGTCTTTCCTCTACGTGACTGCTGGAACCATCAAACCAATAAGCCTCTTCAGCAGGAAAGACCAAATTCCAAATTAAGAATAATTCACCTCGGTTCTGTGAGATTTGGTCTGGAATGAACTAATCCCAACTCCCTGGAAGGATTCCCAGAACTGTCTCCGTAGCTTCACTCTGTTCTGGCGCCGATTAGTGACCTGTTCCCTTAGGTGATTGGTGACCCTGTAACAGTTTTCATCTATATCGCATAGAACTAATACGATTTGCTTAAAGGCCACTGTTCAGACGAGACCACATGTGATTGATCCGTTGTAAGTTCTCTTAATGTTTAGATCCCCTGTAGAAGACCACCTAAACTGAATTGAAACGTAAGCTTAACTCGCTCACAACCGTCACATGAGCCTCGAAGACTGAAACCCCAAGCCCCTAAAAGAAGCAGTAGGTCATACCTCCATTGTTCGCTTATCTCGTCAGCTTTTCTGCCATGTTTTTCATCCCAAACTAAACATTGGATGTTCATCCTAGGCAATATAGTACGCATCCTAAGAACCGAGTGATCCATCGTGACCCAACGATGGAGCGCAAATTCCACAGTTATTTATAACGTGTTTGACATTATCTGAGCTACATTAGGCCTTTTATTCCCCCAGTGACGATTCCCTATCTGGTGCGGCTTTTTTGCACGAAACTCGCAAATGCCGGATATTTCCTTCCGCTGTACGACCACCTTTCTAGCATGCACGAATTCGCTTGGCTTTCTGAACGTTGCACCAGAGAGAAAGTTCTGTGGTTGCAGTTGGGGCTACGGAAACTTTATCGTTTATAGGACTTATTTCGAATTTTGATCGGAATCCCATACGTACTCGATCAACTCGGTGGCTACCGTCATAACTTTGGGACTGGATTAACTTTGTTTGATTCCAGTCTCTGAATTCTGCAGTAAATATTTTTCGAGGTGATCACTACGCCGGCTGCTGTCTAACGCAGTTTTAGAGTGGTCTAGGTTGTGCGAAACCACATGCTTCTTACCATCAACTCCTTTCGCTCCTACTGTTTGTGGCCTCGCCCTGAATCAACCCATCTGTCTGTCTTCTTGCTTGCGCACTTAGGTGGATATCAAGCGCTCCGTGATCGCTTACATACGTTCACAAAAAGAGCTATATAAAAATATCCTCACATACACGGTAAGTGGGAATCTCCGTTTTGCACCTGATCATTGTCTTTTTTATAGCCAGTTGAATTCTCATCACTTCACTATTTATTAAAAGAAGCTGGGATGCGTATTAGTGCAAGAACATTGATGGATATTCTGGACGAACAGGTAAGGACTTCATCCCCTTGAGTGCGGTGCAGGATTGCATCTGAAACCTGTCTCTTTCCGGCATGCTGTTTTCCTCAGGTTGTATAGACATTGGGTGAATTTTTTTAGCAGTGAGGTAATCGAAGTTTCACGAATGGTCCCATCCTCTTAGTGAAATCATCCTATACTGTTACTGTTTCATTCCCGTTGGAAATGGTCGGGGGTGTGCACCTCATGCATTTCTAGATGGCCTCTAACCTGCGACCCTCCATTAGCATACAGTCGGCTATTCACAACGTACAATTTACAAGCAACCTGCTTTGAAAAGAAAGTGTTTCAGGAGTTGCGCAAAAACCCCACCACCACTCCTCCGTGTTCGGAATCCGGATATGTCTCTTATTTCGCCTTTTAAGCGCTTCAACGCCCTGCCAGCAATAATATGCAGATTTTCCATCTTCCTATACCGAGAGACGAATGCATTTAGAAGACCAGCCCAAGGTTTTCTATCCCCTTTTTTTCTCCACCTTTTCCCTCGGCTGCTAAGGAATCCAGAAGAGACTGGATGTGATTGAAGTGTGAAGTTTTTTGCCTCTGCATGGTCCACTGAGTTACACTGCTAACACCCATGTGCCACCCAGAGAACCTTAAATATCAACTCAGGCTATTTAAAAAGGCCAGATACTCACTGGAACATCCGTCCTTACCAAACACTGCTATTTTAGTTTTTGCCATTCACGGCCGATTTCGTTCTATGATGAACGCCCTGGCAGTATTCCGGGGGGGAACGTTAGCCTCTTTCATGCGAGTCGTGCAGTTCTAAGTGGGTTAAGCTTCTCTAAAGTCACACATCTGTGAGAAGAACCGTTCATTTGTGAGCATTTGCTAGTTATTTTGAGGATAGTATTAACAGCTGTGCCATCTTTTCGGTGCCTAGCTACCACTCCACACGAGAGCTGAGATACCGTTAGGTAGTCCAAGACTAGATAGAAGCTGGTTTATGGTTGATAGGGTCACAAACGAGTGTTTCTCGCACCGAGAGCTCACTTTATGTTCCAACTGACGTTTTCTCCTGGTCGAATTCACGAATCACTGCATCGCTAAGTGTAATTCATATCGACGAGCATGTAACCAGATCAGGTTTTGTCTACCAAGCATTCGTCATGCTAGGAATATATGTGAATCGTTTGGTAATTCGCTCCACGGATGCATACACCTAGCTACACTCACCTGCAGTTTTCGCCAGGAAATGAAATATAGAACGTATATCCATGACTGTCTTTCACACGAACCGAAATCTGTTCGTGCCCTTCAAGCACTTCGTTGAAAGCCTTGCATGACAGTGACACGTTAGACAACTATGGTTTTAAACCACAGTAGAGAACAACCAGCTAGTCACGTTTTAGTCGATCTGGCATGTTCAAGTTACTGTACGGTTTCTGACATGATAGCTCAACTGTAGTAAGACACGGAGTGAAGTATAGCCATCCGCGAGAAAGCCCACATCTATTGCCTCCCCCCCCCCCAGAGCAACGCTCCAAGCTACATTGGATNAGAAACCACAACCAAGCCCCCCCCCCCCCCCAGAGCAACGCTCCAAGCTACATTGGATCTAGTTCATCATCTTCACATCAAACATGGCCTTCTCTAGGCATTCCGATCGAAGTTTATCTTCCATGATTTTTTGTCTGCTGAAGCCTGTATAGCCCTTAACTTACTTTCTAGCACGGATGCTAAACTAGCACACTCATTCCCAACAAGCCTGTTTGGCGGTCGACTCAACCATGCTTCTTCAGATAGGAGAATCCGTAGAGATTCTGGATGCATCAAGTAATCCTTATATTACTTTCAGTCGTACAGTGGGGTCGTATTCTCATTTTCACCGTTTCAGATTGATATCTTGTACGACGAAAAAGTGTGTTTGGGTGGCATAGGAAAAAAACAGCACATCCAAGCTTGGCACGAGCTCGCCTCAGCATGTTCAAGAAACCATAATTCAAAGACAGGTTGCATGGCTGAAGCACACGAACAGATACAGTTTGAAAATTCCTTGCGGACATGCAACGCATCCTCATTTGAACCAGTTGTCCTACACTAGACGCATGGCTTTATTAATAGATTTCGAACCTCAATATATTGGTAAGCGTCGTTACCCTGGATTGGAATTGCTTCCACTAGGTGTAGTGTATTCTACTAACAGAATATACTGCGATATCATACCGCCTGAAGCTTCAGGCGATCTGTGTAATACATTCAGTTGGAGCCTACCATAAACAGAATTTCGTCGAGTATCCCGTTAAAAACACACAGTCTAGAGTTCAAATAAAACATGTCTGACAGGAACTCGAAAACTGCGCCCACCTGATGAGTCCAAGAAGGGTGCAATCGGTTACGGGCTGTCGGAGAGGTCTCAGCAACATTGCAAGTAGTATGTCTCCATAATTGTTTTTTATATTAGGACGCGGATAACTTATGGCCTCATCGGCTAACCTGAACACCATTATTCCATGGTTTCTTAACAGCCCACGTTGTCCTACCTTGGGTATACTGTCATGTTCCGCCTGTCGTATTCTCTCATCACCCTTCATTTTTCCTCATAGTGTATAACTTTCACGTTGCGCAATCGTACCCGTGTCAAACCCGGGCCTCGTTCGAACAGAACAATCAAAGCGAACCGTCACTAGCTTTCTTGTTTGGTACTTTTGTATATATTCTCTCCTTATGTTCATCTATAGTCTTCAATACAGACTTCTTTATCTTGAGTTATTATTTTTATGCAGTATGCTGTCACAAGTTCTGATCTAGCGCCGCTGTAGAATGATAAAGTACGCGCACATAGCACATACAGCAGTTTAGGCACAGAAAGCATTATCCGAACGGTAGAAGGTCAACCACAGTTTTGTATATGCGGACGATGTAGTTGCACATTGAGCACGACACCAAGATAATAGCTAGTAAAAGAAGTCATAAGCAGGTCGATGATATATAAAGTGGTTGCATCGGATGGCACATGGGATCTCTGTGTTCACATTCGAATCTATTAGTCCTCTCGGAATCATAGTATTAACGTGGTCGTACAACAGCTCAGAGGTATGCCGAGCATATGTTTGACTTTAAACTCACCTACAGAATTTCGCTGGATTATTCTGCAGCAGCTTGTGAGAAAGCGAAATATGGAGAAAACCATTACGGATGGGGAATGATTCTGATCATTATTATTAGCGCCGCAATATAAGATGTTCGCTGTGGGATCATCGCTGGAATTTCGATCCTATTCATAAGCCTCTCCATTTCCACCCCCGATCTAAACAATGGGCATATCTATCCAACAGGGATAAAACTAACTCGTTTTCGTTAATTGGCTGGTACTGCCGGACCAATTTCACGTTTCTAAAGGCGGAGAGAATTGTCACTCACTGAATTCCTGTCAGCTACATCAGGACCGGATTCTGCTAGGGACCAGCAGCACCAATATGCTTGATAAGGGGGATTCAATTGTCTCACTTTAACTCTTGCTTCGCACGGACTCGACCGCTGCGAGTACAATGTATTCGGAGGAATCACTTCGTTCTTCGGTGATCTTCACTGAGGGAAATAATACGAATTCGGGTTCGACATCGGAGCTTGTAGTCTCAAGACTCGTGTTGCTCTTCCTTACTATTAAGTCTTCCGGTCATTCTGACGCTAACTTATGAACTTCTCCCATTTCGTGATAGGTGAAGCAGTAAATATTGTTTGTTGACGTAGTACAATAATTAAAGAGCTGTTGAAAGTACTTCAGCAACCCACTACCAGTTCCGTCCCCGAGGCCCATTATATAGGCGTAGTCTCGAGTTTCTACCAACCCTACGTTCTACTTGAACACGGAATCGCACGCAGTTGATGACGTACGATTGCCTGCGAATTCAATTGGTGTTAACTGTCTCTACAGTATATAACACACTATATACATAGTCGACGAAAGGCTCGTCCGCGATTGAGTTGAATCTCCCGTCAACACCAATTTGACGTACCAGTGCATTCCGCCAATTGATAAGCTTTGTTTCTGAGTAACTTTCGAGGTGTGTTATGTATCAGAACGGGTACGATCAACGACCACGTGACTTGAGGGCGAGCGCACAACTTCCCAGCTATGGCGCGAGCCTAGCCACTACTAGCGTGGAGAGAGAAGACCGGACCTTCAGAGGGGGGCTTTTACTACCTCAACCAAAGGCGAAGTACTGCGGGAGCACCCTCAAATATGTATATTCTAAGCGACCTTGGGGAGAAATAAATCCGTTAGCGCACACAGTCTAACTGGCCGATAGGTGAGAAGCGCGGCCTTTTTAGATTGAGGCGCGACATGGTGGAAAGGTCGCAAAATATAAAAGTTCAAATTCTTAGAAAATAAATTTGCAGTGACTGAAAATAAACGGATTTTTGGGGATGCTGATATCCCCAACACCCCCTTGGGGAAGAAATGTTAGTAACGGGTCTTTCTGGAGGTCCATTTTGAAAGGGATCTTTTGGCGGCGATATGTCAATCTTCTTGGGAGAGGATTTGGTTCCCCGGTTGATGCGTTCTGTGTCATCAGCTGCATTGCATCAGGTGTGATCGCCCTAAATTCAAAATTGTCGAGGATGCCGGGCGGAATATCGGTGTGGTACGCTGGTGGCCCCAAGAAATGGCGTTGACGCATCTGATTCTTGTGTCGCATCCAGATGTCTTGGCCGACAGATGCGTTTTCTTAGGACGTGTCCTTGGATCCGGGTTCGTGTTTTTGGTTGATAGCCTCGCGCAAAATCGCTTGCACCCACGTTAAATTAAGCCATCTTCGTGCTCACGGTGAGCCAAGAACAATGTGTCGGTGTTGTAGACATGGCCAAATTTATAGTTTGCAATGTTCGGCCCGTGAGCGCTTCAGTAGGTGATTTCCAGCCTTTCAAGGAGTTATTTGGAGTGGTCCGATTAACTGACATCTCAGAGCGGAGGCGAAGGCCGTCGCTGGACGCGTTGAAGCACAATGTCGATTTGCGTGCGCATT